TGTCCAGTGGGCGCTCCTCTATCGCGGACGATGGCCAACTTCGCCACACTTATGTCCAGTAAGGGTACGAATAGTTTTGAAACAGAATTGGATTCCCCCACCCCCCGACTTGTTCACTGAGGTCGATATTCAGAATTATCCTGAGCTCCAACACTTCTTCATTTAAGCAATACCTCAAGTCTATCTATAAACAGGTGGCACAGAAAGTAATGCCATAAATCAAAAGTTACTCTTAGTTAGGAGGGAACTGCTTCAGGAATATACAGGACACAGGGCCAGACCGCTCATTGGTCCGCGTTTCTGTTAACTGGCAAAGTAATTCGGATTACGAGTTGCAGTGTATCACTGAGTAAAACTCGCGCGTTCACTGTGACGTCACTCTCAATTCAGACTAATCCAAAGACTCCATTATAAAAAATAAATATTTTGATGGAGTGATTTCTGTAAGGCATTGGGTATAAAAAACAAATATTTTGACGGAGTGATTTGTGTAAGGCATTTCCAGCTGGTAAAGCTGAAAAGCTAACTTGGATAGATGCGAAGCAATCTTCGAAACAAATGAAGGACGTAGAGTGACGGTTCTGTCCGTAAAGCACAAGGTTCAGGTCAGAACTGGAATGACCTCGCTGTGTCAGTGTTGAGGGTAAGGGCTGTATTGTGGGTCTGCAAGCAACGTTGAGTCCGCATGTATGTGGAGGTTGGATAGACCACAGTCCCGAACGCGCCAAAAGGGGCGGTTTACGACGAAAACCGGACAGCAGTGTAAACTCCCGATTCCTTTGACCACCCCTGTTATGTAGACACACACACACACACACCGATAAACGAGGTTAAAATAAAACATAAAACCACGCACTATAACAGGGGCTCATAATGTTGTGAGCCATCCTGAAAAATAATGACCCTTCTGATGACTTAACTGAGATTGAGGTCGCTACTGCTAGAAGAAAATCTGTCAAAATAAACCTTCCGTTGGGAATCGATATACAGAATGGAAGAATTAGTGAGCTGAGAAGTATGCTCTGCTGGAGCACCTCGATATCTGTTCATAGACAAACTCCTGATGGATGCTTCTCAGCGAGATGAGGATGACCAACGGTGTGGAATAAACGCCTGAGTGCGAAACCAAGCCACGCCACTTATTATGTTGCCAACAGATCCAATGAGGTTAAGTCCCAACCTAAAGCTGCCACCTTAAAGTGGTGGTCGGGATTGAGTGCTGCAATGATTCCGCGGACTACACTGGCTGGAAATTCGTTCCACAAGGTGTAACCATGCCAGGAAGCCCAAAGGGGAGAAGCAAGACCAAGAGCAGCGAGACTCCGTACTACGATTAATCGTGCTGCGAGGCGGTCTGGGGTAAAAGCCGTACTGTCCTGTGCGACAGGGGTGTGAAAGCAGTAAAGTATTTCATCTAGGCGACCAGCATGTCCCTATCAATGGAACCAGTGATGCTGCCTTCCCCAGACGAAGGACGGGTTAGAAAAGGTTGGCCCTAAAAACCGCACACTCCGACCGCCCAACGGTTGACCGTGACCGCGAGTGCATTATGCAATATGGTCGAAATACTTTTGAAACCAAAGAGCCCGGTGCTGCTCAAAAGCCACCTGCTGTGCGCAGCCGGATCAAGAATGAGGCAGTAATGCCTTATTTCCTGCGGCCTCGGATTAGGCCGACGCCCTGCAGCCGAGTCGGTCAGAGTGTTGAGTCATCGGCTCCGGGTAGGGTCCTCAAAGAAAGCCCTACTATCCGCTGCCTCGTGATTCAGACCTTTGAGTCAGAGGTTGGGGGCGGGGTCTCCGAACAAAACCCTACGTCCTTCCACTGCTTGTGGGTTAGATTTTTGAGTCAAAGGCTCAAGGTTGGATAACTCACCAAACCTCCTTCCTCGTCCTGGGCAACCGGGAGGTATCGTTTGCCCGCGCAGTCCGATGCCCACCGATGTCCCCCCCTAACCCCTTCCAACCGGACAAGCAGACGCCGATGGGTCATTTGACTGTCAGTTATCTGACCAAAGGGCCTTATGCTCCTCGCTGTCTACTAACAATAAACAAAATAACACCCCTCTAAATCCACAAGATCCTCCCTATATAGGATCTCTCTCTATGTCGAATAGGCAAATAGACGATGATTGCTGAGACCTTATACTCCCTTACAAATGATGCACAGTGTCTCCGAAACACACATACAAGACCCGAGCGTGGTTATGTATCTCAGAACGCCTTAAGGCGCTGCTCGCCAACTCCCGCGGCCGTGTGAAGGTTTACGAAAAGCTCTCATCTGAGTTCACCACACCAAGTGGTGTCCGACAGGTCTGTCCCGTTTCACCTTTCCTCTTCAACTTCGTCATTAGTGCGATCATGGAAGGCTCACTAACAACCTCTAATGCCTGTGGGGTCGAAGTGCTCCTCGGGCGTCCGCTCACAGATATGGACAACGCAGACGACAGCTCTTCTTGGATCTGACTCCGTGGTAATACAAACAATATTAAATAATCTAAATAACTCTGCCTCACGGTTTGGCATGGGCTTCACACCTCACAGTGTGAAGTGCTAATACAAGATTGGGTGAGCTTGAACCCTAGCCTAATGGTTGCGAATGAACCGGTTGAAGTAGCAGACAAATTTGTTCACCTGGCAGCTGTATCAGTCCCGGTGGTCTCGCGAAAGGTGATATTTTCAACCGGATCGGGAAGGCCGGGGGAGCTTTTGTGAACCTGCGTCACCTGTGGCGTAATCGTGACATCAGCTTATCTGTCAAGGGTCGAGTTTACAATGCTGCTCCATATTACTATACGGATCAGAAACCTGGCCGCTGCGCATCGAGGACGTCAAAAGACTGTCAGTGTTTGACCATCGATGTCTCCGGAGCATTACCCGAATCTGGTGGGAACACTGGATCAGCAATGCTGAAGTTCACCGAATGGCATTCGGGAGAAATAACTCACCCTCGATAGATGAACTGATCACACTGCATAGGTTGCGCTGGCTTGGCCACGTGTTGCGTATGCCAGTCGACCGAATTCCTCGAAGGGCTCTTTTCGCACAACCACGTGAAGGGTGGAAGAGAGCCAGAGACGGTTAAACGATAACTCGGCCGCGAAGTGTGAAAGCCATTACCAGCAAACTCAGCTGCGCTGGTCATTGCCATCTTCCTGGATGTGGATCCCGAGACGGGACACATCGATGGTTGGAGACATGGCCCAGACACGGCCCAGTCGCGCCCTGGGGGCACATGCACCCAAGCTATTGCCTTCAATGCATAGCTCCCTTCCCGATTCCCCCACTTAACAGTCCACTGAGACTGCTGTAGTTACGGACTAATTTACCAGCTCCCTCCTCCAGCAGCTACCTACCCCACCTCTCAAAATTATCGGAGAACGAAACTGTGGCAGCCAAAAAAATTGTACGGCAAGTAAGCGGTTATTACAGCTGACAAAGATGAGATAAAGTCAGTAAAATTGATTTCCCGCGACCTGAGTGCATGAATACAGTGCGATTCCGCTGGTTGGAACCAGATTAGCACACTAAGTTGATCATGGCATGTAGGATTGAAGAACTAACATCGGTAGATTGTGGTTGGTTTGAGCGTCGCTAACACATGCGACAGTCTAAAGATGTGGCTTCAGTGAACTGACCAGACTCGCCCGCCCTGAGCTACGACTGATTTAAGAACAGTCTTGATGAGCGCAACGCTTGAAGAGCAACCAGCAACTGTCTTTCAACCTGAACATGCATTCCTTGTTAGGTGGTCAACGGAAACAAAGGAAAGGATGCCGAAGTATTGAATAGTGAAATTTGCAATCGTCATACTGTCACATTGCTCTTGACACACCCGGAAAGCAGATCTCCCCATACTTCAAAGTGAACGACCCTTAACTGTTCCGAAGTGGATGCTCCTTGGAAAGAATATTATGTAAGAACAGAGCAATTGTCCAAGCTGAAAACAGGTCGACCTTCTTTAAACGTATGCAGTTTGGCCGTAAAATGAAGAGATTCAGTCCACCCTGGGTCGCACTAAGGCCTAGCGAGACAGGTACCAGTCTACTGTACACAAAAGAGCAGACAAGACTTCTGTGTAAAAGCGCCCACTATACACAGTGCCGCAGAACCAGAACATTCCATCGAATTCGCTTATCTTGACATACTACGATAGTCAATGCAGTTGCTGATGACCAATCGATCCAAGATCTACCTGGATAAAAACACTCAACAACGCAAGTAACAGTAGCTATCAACCCGAACCCCGAAAGCAGCTCATTTCAGTTTGTATACAGCGTCCCAAAGTGGCGCGGTCAACCTGTGCTGAATAGATAAAACTGCTACTGTTGGCAAGTCATTGGTGACCTCCTCGTAGTTTTCATTTATCAAGTTGACGAAAGCAAAAGTGATGCCACCAGTTTGGTCTCCAGCTGTACTCTACAACTTGACACATTCCATTAATTACCTGATGCTGATAAAGAAGCAGCCACATGGGGGCGGGACAACTATCAGATGGAAAATTAATTTTGGCATCTTTCGGTACCACAGCAACCTTGTACTTGATGCAAGTCACGCAGCAGCTATACATCAAAAGACACTTGAGGTGAAGCGATTGAATTCATTTGATGAGAATACCAAGATGCCATGAGCCAAGATTCAGTGACTCCAATGAAGTCCATCATCTATCGAAATAAAGAAATGCATGTATCCCTGCTGAAGGTAAACAGTGATGTACAAACTACATGCGAACTTCAAAACGTGCTGACTGTGTTTCGAGAGTGCAACAACTTCATCAACGTGAAGGAAATGTAAGCCATTTTAGTACTACACCGTTTCGGTGCACATCTACAGTGTAATTCCGATGCACGACGGCTGAGATCCCACTGGGAAGCCTAAATCTAGCAAAGAATGGTCGAAAAGTCGCACCTCAACCAATGAGTTATCTCGGGCTCTAATGAAAACTGAATGATAATTGAAATGGAGATTGGAGCGTGATTACAGTAAAACATGGTAGCTAACCGAGTAACAGATCGCAACCATCAAGCAGATCTGCTTCGACTAGTTCGCGTGCCAATACGTCTGCGGAATCTGTATTGATAGAAGAGGGAGGAATAGAAGGGACAATGTATGAGTGTGTAAAATGTTTTTCATTTTGCCCAAATTCCTCTGACAGAAACGGTAAGTTCGTCTGCATCTACACTGTTTCACTGCTGAAAGCGAGTGCTGAAGGAAAACTATCAAAGTTGACTGAATCGATCGATTCATCTGAGGTCAAGATAGCGTCATCTTGTCAAAGACACGCAGACGAATGGACCAGGCGGACAACACATGTGAAGAGAGTAGAGACAGCAGAGTTTTCATCGTACAAGTAAAATCAATCTACTGAAATGCCGGGAGGCATGTAGGCCAGGTTGCCCAAGCCTAGACAGGAACAACCGAGATGCTGAGGTTGGGTGCGAACTGTGGACCTTCCAGTTGAAAATTTCACGCCTTAACCAGTGAGCCATCTCGAGCCAAAATGCTGTAAGCCAGTTTGTTGATGGCATTTTCAAGTTCCTGATTTCAAATATAAAAAATGAGGTTGAATAATTTGCTCTACATTTATAGGTTCCGTCTTTTGAACAAACTGTTCGATCAGCGTTATAGTTGAATGATTCAGATGCAGAACGACATTAGAATTTGATAATTTTTTCTTGGCATTAAGAACGATTTATTGCAGGTTATTGCCGGTTATGAATAATCGTAAATGCTCAATGGTAGGACTCAGTTCACTTCATTGTCAGTTTTTGCAGAACACGGATGGCACCAGTGAATTCTTCCGAAGCTGTCGGATCACCATCCATTGGTATTTAGTATGCTGTTGACCCATGGGCTGTCTACGATTTCAAGTACAAGAACACAACGGATGCAACCGTGAAGGGGAAACAGTTGGAAAACCCCGGACCACGATGCTAGAAGAGGCGCGTGTTCTTTGGTTCGACGAAGTGCTTTGTTGATCCGGTCAACGGGCCCTAGGAGAATGATATTTGCGTTTCCGTTTGTACCTTGGATACCAGACACTCGTGAGTCTTAACTGACTGTTTCAAAAATGCATTCGTGACTTTGGCTAAGTAGGATATCCTGTAGGGAACACACGATGAGGTGGCGTTTCCCGATCGGATGTTCGAGAAGCGCTGTCAGAATCGCATTAAAATAAACGTTTGCAAAACTCTCACAGTCACAACATTTGCTAGATCCACGGGCATAGCGATTACAACAAAATGTCGGAAAAGATGACGAGTCATTCCAAGAACCAATAGGGTTACAAATAGAACTACCATCGGTTTTCATGGGTCTTGCAATCTACAGGAAGCCCCTGGGGTGACAAATCAAATGAACTTACCTCCGGAGGGATTCCTTACAAAAAGCACTTACCTTTGCCAGGAACGTAGTTAAAACTAATATCTTGAAGTTCATTGTTTTGTTTGGGGTTGCGTTTTCGAAGAGTTATGCGGTAGCTAGGACCGGCACCCTGTCAAGAGAAGCAAGACATTAACAGAGACAGGGAAGGAGAAACAGGCGAACAGGTGCACGTTCAGTGAATAGTGACTGGCCTCTATCAGTAAGGAAAGATCAGCGGTGCACATATTCTACACAAACTGACGATCTCTACGCAGCAAAACCCTGATGACATCTCAAATCGCTAATGAAACGTACAACACAGTGGCTACGTTCATGGGACAAGTCAACTGCAAATATTCCGGACAAGCCAAACTATCCAAAAATGCGGGAAGAGTGGTGGCAAACTAAGTGAATATAAACAAAGCGCAGACTGGTACGCTACGGCTCCTTACAGGAATATGCTGCATGCATGGTGTGCGACACAAAAAGCCGTAAAGCAAGAGATAGGTTGCAGAGATTACTTCGCCATGCAACACTTACGGCATCTTCAGAACCCGCTGACTGACAAGCTCCTGTGCCGTATGTTGAAGCCATGGCCTCGGCAAATTCGCCAGGCATCCTACTAACATTACCGTCCGGAGACACAGGGGTACAAGCAGGGGCGGGGGGCAAAGATCCATAGCCGGAAACAACGGATGTTCCGCACACATTCGGATCGATCAACCCAGTTGCTGCTGGTGGCATCATAGCCGCACCCACATGACCCAAAGTGCCACCGACGGGCGGGGAACCAGCTATCACAGTATCGACCATCGGATCTTGCGCTGCACCCAAGTGGTGAAAGCGATGTCCACCAGCGTGTTCAGTACCATATTCAGGTTCATCGCTGTCCTCCTCACTATCTGGACCACTTTGTGAGGCACGAACGATTGTGTCGAAATTCCATTCCGTACTGTTCGTCTACAACATAAATAAATCGGAATCAAAAATCCAATAGGATAAAACACTAGGTTAAAAGAGGAGCCATGACGGGGCATAAGGGAGTAGGTTCGACAAAATTCTGCAGGAATAATGAACTCACATTTTTCTATGTTCTGCCCTCAGTTTTCTGCAGTGCGTTTGCCACGCCAAAATACAGGTGGTTATATGGATAGGGAAGTTGGGTAAACGAGAATCACAAGTTGCACTGCAACCCCGAGACTACATGCAGTTTACAGATGGAGTGCGAATGGTGGCTTATTTTTGTGGCAATTCTGAGGACCACAAAGCAACGCTTCTTTAAAGGAATTACAGTCCAAGATATAGAAAATTAACTAATAGCCGGCAATACCAACAGGAATACGGCTGCCCCGCACCGCTTCGACAGAAGCATTCAGCCAAACACCACGAATTACACCAGACTAAACCCGAGTAATGTCACATTGTTCACTAGTGAGTAGTTACATGGTGATAGATCCATGGGGAAAGTCTGTCCACCTGCATCGAGCACAGGAGTGAAGCCAAATATGCAAGTTGTGTGAAATAACCATATGAAGAATCTAGTTGTCATTTGCGTGGGCGAATTTTTACCAAGAATGATGTGATACAGTGGTCTCTCAAGAGGTTAATGTGAAAAATATCTCATTCAGTGTGTTGTCGTCCGGAGGCAAGCCGACCCTAACAACCGAACAGCGCTTCAATTGGACGGATGTCAGGTGCGGGCTAAAAACCAAACGAAGGTATGCCTGGTTGGTCACAATGCCAGCCAATCTGTATGGAGTATATTTAGCTTGACGTTTCTCGCCCTCTCATGGAGATTCTAGCACCACCTTGTGGAATGTTCTGTGATTGTCCTGTATCACCATGATGGGCGGAGTAGAAAGCCAAGAACCGATACAAAGTTGCACGACAGTTTAGTAGACCACAACAGCTACCCTAACTGGGAATAGATGGACCGCTGCGTACAACTTAAGAGCATCAAAGAAGTGACTATCCCAAGCCTATTGCCAATGACAACATGGGTTGCAGCACTCGGTGCTGATTTGGACGTCGAAAAACCACCGGATTTAGTCACACGGGAAAGAGGATCGTCATCTTAAGGCAGCATACAAATTATGAGTACCGTAGACGTTCATGTTGTTGTATTCAACAGCCCAACACTGGTTCCGCCTTGTCAATTTCACAGCACTATTTAGTACTCATGAGTAGCACTCGCTTTGCTGAAGATGCACCATCTTGCGTAAGCGAAAGCCATGGGTAATGACAGCAATCAGCTGAAAAACATCCGTACATATCCTACGCAGATTATGTATAACTTCCAAACAGTGTTACGTACAACATTATTAGGGAGTATTCCTGAAGGCATTCGGTAAACAAGGCTTCAAACGCGCACGATAATTCCAAAAAAAGCCGCACTCGTTGTCCTGATCAACTAGAAATAATTATCTGATCAACAGCTGACTTTAACATCACGTCAAATTTCTGAACAACGAAACGAAGTAGAGTTCCTTGAATTGTAAGACTAATGTGAAGTATCGTTCAGCAAGTACACTAATTTCCACGTTGAATTGGCTTAAACGAGAGACTCAACAGAATCCAGATGAATCTCTTGATAATCTTCGAACGAATGTAAGCACAGGTCCGCCTCTTGTTTCAGAAGAACGCCCACCTGATAAGCCACAAAAGCGAGACCGGATTTGGATTGTCGAAAAGTTTCCAGAAACTTCATAAGCGTTATATTTTCGTTGCGCGAAACTTTGATAACAATCCAAACAATAAGCGGCACAGTTCAAAAAACAGACCCGAGCTGAAGTTAAACAGCGCAAACGATAGGATAACACAAGCGACAATCCTGAGTGAAGCGACGGCAGGAATCCCTGAATCAGCTCTGATAAACCAAAACCTCAAAGACGAAATTATCCCACCCCATGAGTGTAGCAGCGAAACGAACAAAACAGATGCCCGTTAAGGATGTGGCGGCCACTGTCTTCCTGCCATCTCGAAGGAGACAGGTGGAATAACACTCATCCCGCAGAAGTAATTTCGCTACATGTAGTTGTAGTAGTATCATTGAGCCATCATCGCAGCTGATGCCACCGGATGCCTTCCGCGACTGAAGAACCTGATACACAACCGAATAACTGTTTTCCAACCATCTGGTTACGAAATCGTGGACGCTATTGTCCGAAGATCCCATGCCTCGTGACCGTACAATACAGCCCTTACTGTAAGCTGGTACACGCAACCCTTCAGACCCACTGATACGCCACAACTTAGCAAATGTGAGTTGGACTTTTAAGATTCGTGCACTGACTTCATCAGACAAACTTCGACCAGAGCTATTACAATTACCCTAGTAAGCGAGCGAATCCCCCTCCTGAATTGCAAGAGGCACGTTCAGAGACCACAGGTTCTGAAACGTGACCTTGTACTTTGAAGGTGTAAGGAGCATATGCTGGAAGATGGTATGAGCTTGTGCTTCGTCTTTAAAAATGAGGATGTTTTCGTCTGTGTACTCCAGACTGACAAGGCTCTCACTAGCGACGACTTGGACGCCGGGACTTCGAAGAGCTTCCAGTGTTCGCCTCATCATCTCATCAGTGACGAAGGTGAACAAGAACGAAAAAAGTATCAAGAGCGAAACAAACCTTCGGACCACGTTTCTCAGACCGATCATCCGCGTGTTTGTTGGTTCGCGAGATTGGTGGGGGTATTTCACCCCCAAGCATAACTCGACACAACAGCTCTCGGTCCTGGGTAGAGAAAAAGAAAACAAGAACAATGTGAAATTACAAATATGATTACACTAATATAGTCAAAGAACTATCTAGAAAGATGCCATTGTATAGTGAGGACATTAGCCTACCGTTTCAGTCAGATATGCGTACGATAGCTTAGAGGTTCGGACGTGATGCTCAGACCGAGGGGTACAGGCCTACCTCTGGTGTTTCAGTTGAAAAATCTGACAGCATCTTACAGGTGAACTTCGGCACGCATGGTTAATATGCACGTAATCAGTGACATATCCGAAAGACTTGATTTGCTCTAAAGGATTTACACGTCCGGATGGGCAGTTCTCGAATCCAGTACCCGATCAAATGTTCTCCGTGATTTATTTTTTTATTTCATTGCAAACGTGGTTGTGTTCTTCAGATGGAGCACTAGTATAACCTGTATTCATCAGGTGGGCACAAAACACCTATGATTTCATCTTAGAAGAAAACGTAAGCATCTGAGCAGTACAGTCAGTAGGTTATGGTCCCAAACGTCTGAAAACAACTAGCTTTCACTCAAACTAAGCCCAACATATCGACCGAATGGAGTGAAAACATCGTCGCCAATGCGGACACAACAAATCCTCCTCATGTGGGAAAACATGGAGAACCGCACAGTAGAATGAAACCCCCTCGTCCAAGTGAAAAAGCGCCATCCTTATTCATAACAACTGCAAACCGGCGTGCCACCAGGACTGCAGTCTCCAGCATCAAGACGGACAAACGCAACCACTTCTCACAGCAGACCACAGTGAAAACGCGGATGCGAAACTCGGAATTCCACTTTATCAAGTGAATTAATTATCGGTGGCTGATTCACACAACTGGACGGAGCCCTCAGTGAGATAACAGAAATTAGTTAAAGAAATTAGTTAAAGATCACTACACCTCCAGAGACACCTTCCTTCACTTCTTCAGCTGTAACACCCTACCGGTGCTCAGCTGCCATGCCACCCGAACGGAGTACGAGGGCTGAGGTACTGCCCAAGCCTGGACAGGAGCCGTCAAGATGCAGAGGTTGGGCTCCAACAACGGGGCCTCATGTCAGTTAATTCGCGCTTTAACCATTCAGCCTTCTCGAAATCCGCCAGAAAAAAGGCTAATAACTCATTTTTCTTCTCGGGAAACCACCGCATCTTAGACATTCAATTCGACAGCAGCTGTCGTCTTCTTCCAGTGACCCGGGCTCAAGCACAGTCTGCCTTCTATCCTAACATTGAACATTCCCCCTAACTTGACCCAAGGCATTCGGAGAAATGTAAAAATCGGCTCAAAGTTTCAATTACGTACAATTCCTCAATATTGAGTATTTAAACGCGACAAAGGTTTCGAACTGTGAGTTCCGGTAATAGGACTGCCGCGCCTGTGTTGTGGGACAAGATCACGCATGGAATAGTGTTTAATCTTCGAGGCTTTCATTGTTCTCCTGTGTTTATTCTCAAACTACTGGCAGATAGTAATGTGTGCGTATCCGGAAGATCCGATAGTGGCGCTACGCTAACGTGCAAACGAACTGCTTGTCCGTAAGTTGGCACACGTTGTAAATCGGTGCATACCCGAAACATACAAAATGACGGCATTCCGAAATACAGAATTCAAAGAGCCGCCAGTCTAATCCAGAGTAGAAAATTCCGTAGAAGGCTGAACACTTTAACACGGAGAGATAGGACTCTTCGATGAGCTGCAGTGGTGCCTTCGTAATTCAACAAGGTTGGACCTGCGTTGCTCCTGTACGTGTGCTGTAGTTCGAATGCTTAGACCTTCCTCCATATGTATTGAGTGGAACATAATATTCCTATGATATTCGCCATTCTGAAGTTGCATTGAAAGGCATGTACCAAAACGGGACAGGAGGCAGATGATCTTTAGGCGACAGGGTATAGTATCAGCTTCAACTAGTTGATAACTCCCATCAGCGGCGCGCCCAGACAACCAAAACTTCGTATATCGCGGAGCAGCTGTCAATTTTTTGTAGGAGAATCGACTGCATACTTGTTTACCGAGGATAAAGGGTAGTTTCGGGGTGCATTAGTCAATAACGCAGTAGTTTGCTTACCGTTTGGTTTCGACGTCACTTTCTTCAACAACATAAGTCGCGACAAAAAGCAGTGCACGAAAGCAAGTGTTCCGCGGTTCTCTTGAGGTCTTCGAGTAGCACACCGCTAACGACATAGCCCACCCCCACCCTCAATACGAAGATTGGTGTCACTTAATCACCCATGACAAGACTCCACGTTGATCCATCCGTCCAACCTAGCTATGGAAGTAACTCTTTGGACCCACTAAACCTGCATCATCCTGCGCAGGCGTTCAGCAGAAGTCGTACAATTCTTCCGGTTATATTCATTAAATGATGGATATTCTGTGACTGGACACTGTACTCAGCATCTATTCTAGGTCGCTCAGAAAACTGCACTCGCTATCTGGCCTCGTTCTTGAGGCGCACAACGTACTTTAAGTCAGCTGACATTCAAATACGGAAACAAGTCCAAGTGTATGTGTACTACTTGAAAACACCTGCCCAAAAAAGAGTTCGGTTTAAAGCGAAATTTACATCAGATAATCACAGGGATATACTCAGCAAACAGAATAGTCCAAAAGGCACCACCAAGCCTTGATCATTCTGGAGGAGATCACTCTCGTATGACCGTGTTCACTGTCCGTCGATCAGGTGGTCACGACGGTGCCTGCCGCGCCAAAGGCTGATTGTGATGAAACGCTCACAACGGATTGATCATACGATGAGATGCCGTGTGATAAAATGATTCAGTGAGGAATCGACGCCATTCGGTGATGCGTGATTAAGTAGTTCCGGGGACCCCGATAAGTACAACTGTTACCAAGTATAAACAATATGCTCAGGCTTTTCAGACAGATAGGGTATTAAATCGTAAGACCCAGGGAATACCAAGCCAACATGTGGCATAGTGGTTATAGTCGAAAATTGGTGATCAAGTGACCGTTAGAGTGTGGTATCCCAAACCTGTTTTTTTCGGCAACACTGACGGAGGAACAGCCCGTGTTCAAAATGTGCAAACTTAATGTACGAGGAACATCGACACACCTTAGACACAATCTACGCCCTCTTTGTTCGAAGTTAGCCCAGTTTGCGGACATCGGGTGTACAATACAGGTCGTCATCACGCATACTGACTGTCGAATAACAAGGTGGCAGAGAGAGCTTATCATATGAAATCCAATACTGTAATGAGTAGATGCGTCAAGCAAAATTTATTTCCAGAAGCCCACAGGCGTGAGCTATCGATGGAAAACATCTGTGACGAAAAGTCATCACTACCTAGGTTTTACCAACAAAGACCAAATGGGGGAAGTGCTGGCACATTCATCGGTCGCCGTTAAAGCGAAAATTGGCACACATAATGAACTTTACGGTAGCAGTAGGCTGTTATTGGACTGGGGATACCTAAATTAACGGTTAGTAACTTTAGTTTCCTCGCCATTATGAGCTCCCCAGGCACTTACGACATGGTACGACATGGTACATGGCGTTGAGTGTTCACTCTTGTCAATGGCTTTCACAACTGACCCAGTATGATGGACACTTTGTGCCTAATTTGCAAGTCTTGACAGTGCTGGTGCTTACTGCGCATTGAAGAGCATTCAGCATTCAACCAATTGTAAAGTTTCCGATCTACTGAGAATACATCGTCTTAGGAGGGATTGGTAAACAATCGCTAGTTTTTAACTGGGCAACGTTTCGATTTTGACAAATCTTCATCAGGTCAAGTGACCAGGTCACCAAGTTGGACAGGTTTTGAGACAGACGAAGAACAGTCAGTAAGGGTCAGTGTTGAATATCAATTAGCGGATCTTGTCGGTTGGTGTGGGGAATTCTGAAATCGAGCATTCAGCATTGTTTGTCCTCTCTTCAGTTTCTGCCCTTCATAACAAACATTGTTACGTACACTGGAAGTCATCTTGTCTGATGGGAACAGTTGGTAGCACGCCCCCAAATGGAACGTTTCCCTCGTTTCACCAAATTCCTCTTCCACGTCTACCATTCCTACATATTTTAATGTTTGTGATCATGTCCTTCAAAAATAAACAATAGTAGTAGTACTGCTCGTGATAATTTACAAGCAGGGGTTACGAAAGTCTAGGCTAAATACAAATTAGTTTACATAAAGTTGGCTGGTTGAATCTCATTAGTAGTGTTTCACCGGTAGCTATCCACCAGAGTCCCATTTGCGCCAGCTTATCTTGAACGTTGATTGGGGCAAACTAAGTGATCAGTGGTTACCGCTAAGGTTCAGAAACCTGGTTTTCACACCAAGAAACGTCTAATCGGTGACTCCGGACCAAAAATGCCGAGGTTCGTACGGTGGTTTCTGGGAGAAACAAATCACGGCTATGGATGACCTCACGAGGTCTTATACGTTGCGCCGGTTTGATCAAGTGCTCCGAATGCCAAGGGACCGTAGCATATTTCGCCTCACCACACACCAAGTGGTAAGGTCACGACCTGGTAACGAAGTGTGACAGCTATTACCAGCCAACCGGGTCGCGTTGGCAACCGCCATTAACATGGACTTAGGTATCCATACAAGCCAGATTGACAAGTCTACATGTTGACGAACACGATTTGATCACGTGCCTAATGGCATTATTATGCCCGAGCCGCTGCTTTCAATGCACGACTAACCCCAACCGAGACTAGCGAGTTATTCTCTAAATTACACATTAAAAATTGGATTTACATTTCGACGTTTTAACCTGCGGCCTTCAATGCTCAAGTCAACCGCAATCCTTTATTCCTCAGTGAACAAAACCGTGGGAACCGGAGTGCACGGTTCATAGCTGTGGTCCGCCCAGTTTCTTCCTCATTGCCAAAGTTACCCTTAATGTTACGGGTCCTACAAGTACTTGTCTTACACCACCGAAGCAGGCAGAAACTTGCGTTATACTGATACCTGTCCACGGAAGTTGGCATACGGCCATAACAGCTAGTGAGAAGAACC